AGGAGTTTTCATATCATTTCGTTGCTTTTGCAGATCTTGTCTTGGAACTGTGAAGACCAACACACACTGCAACAAACCTCCATTGATGTTCCAAGCAAAATTCTGTTGAGAATTGAGTCCATGAGTAAATCTTGTAATATCATATATGTTATTGTTTGTATGTAAAGTCAACGGATGTTATGTTACCCGTGACTTACTACGAAAGGGTGTGTCTAAGAGACGTAACTTGTTGGTTTAGATACAACTGTTACCAACGGTTACGTTATGTAAACATCCAACAAGTTCTACCCTATAAATCCATGTATACACAAAGTCAGTGTCTGTTAATGTTATAACAAAGGGTTATGTAGTCTAGTTTCAGGCAATGAATAAGAAGCTCCAATACGAAAGTATAGTATCCCGGATGTAAACAGCATTCGAAGTAGCACATATACGCAATTTGTCCACATGTGGTTAACAACTTATCAATAAACGTCACATTTGTGCTCACAACTCATCAATGATGAATCTGAAATGTCTAACCAATAATCCAGATTTGAGCTTCTTTTGACTCTTGAGCTTAAACACCATTAGTGCAAGCAAAAACGATAAGAACTTTTTGAACAAAGTCCATGGGGAGAAACATATAACAAGCACGAGAAACAGAGGTACTGAATTTGATGCGACTTAGACCGAAATCAATCGGTTTAACAGAAAACCAAACCTTTATCAGGTCCAGTGTTACTGATCAAGAGAGAAACAAAACAAACAGAAAGGTAACCCAAACTACTAAGTAAACTATCAAGTAGACCAATTTCTTGATCTCATCTTTTTATGCAGTAATCTACTTTATAGCAAATTCTTTAACCAAAAGCAAACAACACCAAAGAGCACAGAAACAATTGATTGAACAATCAATAAAGAGAAAGAAGAAGCAAAGTTAACACAAAAAAGCAAAGCTAATAAAGAATACAATACCTTTCGTCGTAATCTATCACTAAGCTTTAGTATCTTAACCTCTTCTTCCTTCTACTTAGCCACCAAGAAAAGCCAAAAACACTCGTCAATCACCTCTACATAACTACTCTCCACTTGTCTCCATCTTCATCTGCAAAAGAACAAACACTCTTTATACACACACACAAGTCACATAAGCATTCTCCATACAAACACTTAAGAAGAAAAGATACCAAAAACCGCTATATATGAGCGCGGATTGGGGACCTGTGATTGTAGCGGTGTCTCTGTTCATCCTACTATCACCAGGACTACTGTTTCAGCTTCCAGCGAGAACAAGAGTCGTTGAATTCGGGAACATGAGCACGAGCGGTATAGCGATTTTGGTTCACGCAGTTATATACTTTTGTATACTCACAATCTTGGTGGTTGCTATACAAATCCACATCCATTTCTAAAATCTCTGCTCTTACACCATGTAATGTAACAAGAATAGAAGGCAATTTTATTGCAAAACTCTTATGTATGTACATGCAGGAAGCATATAAAGTTGTAATTTTTACCTAGAATTTAAGGTAATAAGCAGAGTTACAACATGAAATGAACAATACAACACAACCCTTTCCACAAAGTATGTTTCTTACACAACATGAGAACAAGAACTATAGATCTAAGGTATGTAAAAAGCCCTAATTTTACAGAGGTTCTAGACCCAGTTTTCAAAAGGGTACCTTTAATTTTGAACATTTGTGAAAGAAACAAGAAGTACAAAGAGAGATCAGATCAACCGGTGTAGATGTGGAGATTAACGGCGACGATTAGAATGGAGTAAATGGCGAAGAAGATGAGAGTGTGAACAGCTATGGCTTTTCCGTTGGTTTTGAGGTTACCGAAATCTACGGTACGGTTGTTTCCGGGTAATGAGAAGATAAGTCCCGGCGAGAGAATCACGAAGAGGATAACGCCGACGAGAACCGGAGCCCAATCCGCCATTGTTGCCGTTAAAGGGGGGAAGTAAAACGGTGTCGCTTTATGAGTCTAAAGTAAAAAAGGTTGCACCTTGAAAACGGTGGCGAGGGAGAGGAATTGGTGGAGGTGGAAGAAACTAGAAACATAGGAAAGTTATGTGGTATGGGCTGTTTTAATTTCTAATTCAAATCAACTATTTTTTTTTTTTGAATTTCAAATTTCATTAATCTTGAGAAATAATTGATGAGTACAAATTTTTGTATGATAAAATTTGTAATTAATTTTATAGAATGATATACATCCAATATCAAATTAGTCATTGTTATGTCTAATTTTTGATCATATACAATTGTTTCAAAAAGTCTGTAAATATCGTAAATAAATTTTATTTGTAGGTAAGTTTCTATTAATTTTTTTTCTTTTGAAAAAATTAGCCGAAATGACAAAAAAAAGATTTAATTCATTCCATATCTACAATCTAGTTTTTTTTTAAGTGTTCATTTAGAGAAAAAAATATCAAAAGCCCCAAATCGATGAATAATTTTTTTTTCACAATACACTTCTTCATTTATCTAAATAAATACATAATTTTCATATACGAATCAAAATAGAATATAACTACCAATGAAAGAAAAAATAGTGTTACGTTCTCTGGCGTTCCGTGCGAACATATCAGCTTTCACGTTTCTCTCTCGGGTTTGATAGACCAGCTCGAAATCCGGAAACGACTTTCGCAATTTCGTCATTGCACTCAACTCTGGTTGGAAGCGTGGCCAATTCTCTGGATTTGCGATCATCTTAGTGAGATCTTGGTAATCCATGACGAACAAAATGTAAAACTTCTTTTTGCGTTTCAAACTCGACATTGCCCATATTAGGTTCAGAGCCTCTGTGTAGAGAGCTGAGATAGTCTCATTGTCTCCATAAATACCTAGGAGATCCATACTATCATCCTGTAATTGAAGCACCCAACTTACACCGCATGTGGGGCTATCTAATCTTTTTTCTACGATCCATCAATGTAATACTGGAATGTCATGATTGGGATATTCTGTGGAACTTCTATTGGGTGCGTAGGCTGCATCATGGATCGATGAATAATTTTTAAAATTGAGACTTTAGGTAGAAGTGGAACTAAGATATATACTCGGGTCCTC